TAGTCGCCAATCGTAGTGATTCTAAAAAAGGCTACTATCATTGTACAATGACACTCCCAGAATATGTTGTAAAACTTATGCTGTCATCACTTAGGGGTATTCCTTTCGTTTTCATATGGTTAATATTTGTTTTTCCATCAAGAGTTTATATGACTGAATTTTATATGAATACATGGTGTGGACAATGGTCAGCATGGATCGTACTCCGTCTTCGACAACGTTGTTGTAGAAAGTTAAAAATCTTACAACATGTCAATTAATAATTAGTCTATGAATTCTGCTACCTACAGTACTTTATATGTTATTTACTTTTTTAAATTGATTTCTTTATAGAAAAAAAAAGACGATCATTTATTATAAATACTTTTTTTTAATAAAACTTGATCATAGTGAAACATGAAATATATCAACGATTGATATGGAAAATATAGTTCGTGATGGAAGAAGAGTATTGTGGTTCATTATTATATAATATCATGTAAGAAATAAGAATAAAGAAAATAAATGTGGAAACTTCAGATTTATATCCGAGAGTTATGTGTACTTCAAAAAGTGGATCATAGAAATCAGTCATCCGACAAATGTCTCATCATCAAAATTATATCGAAAAAACTAGCATTTCAAATTTTGATTTTCATTGCGCGTTGCCAAACCAATAGGACTTGGGATCGAGCACTGCTTAAGTTTGAACCCTGCATCTTGATTTACCCTGGAACAGTTAGATTCCCTATAACTTGATTTCTATTGGCCACTGCACAACCAATAGTATTACGTTGGAAGTGCAGTACACATTCGAGTTCTCCATCTCTGAAAACCTCGAAACAGCATCATTGTGATCGGCAGATATAACTCTATTTGTGGATCAATTAGATCGTCAACCAAAATATAGTCCACTTCTCTTTAATTATTCTTGTGATAGGTGAGTCACCCTTCGTATTTCTTTATGTTTTATATATCATTTTGTAGCTCTTGAAATTCTCTATCGAATGGTATATAATAGCTGGGATTTTATTTGACTATTATAGGAAAAGTCTTTTACGAAACCCGCGTTGGGTCTATTTTTCCACAGAAAGCTATAGGTAAAACTAGAGGGTGGGGGTGTGGGTGTGGGTGTGGGTGTGGGTGTGGGTGCGTGTGTGGGTGTGGGTGTGAGGGTGTGGATTGTATTACGTTTTCATCTTTAGCCACTCCCTCAGCCATACTCACACCCACACCCACACCCACACCCACACCCACACCCACACCC